AGTTGGAGGTTGCTGTGAGCTGTAATGCCACGGCATTCTACCCAGGGGGACAGCTTGAGGCTCTGTCTCAAAAAAAAAAAAAAAAAAAAAAAAGGTCAGAAGTAAAAGAAAGCTACAGAGTAAGATTTACAACTTCTTGGTACAGATGTTAGGATTAGAGTTGGAATTAGACAGATAGATCAGATGGTTCAGGGAAGAGGCATAGAATGAGGACAGTTACCTACTTACAAGCCCTTGTTCCAGAAGCAGGAGTAGGTAGCAGTGCTTAGGCTCCTGCCCTACTCCCCTGTCTCTGTCCCCTAACAGTGATTCATCAGAGAGTAGCATGCTGTCCCGCCTGGGTGACTTGCTTTTCTACACTGTTGCCGAGGGACAGGAACGAATCCCTATTCATAAGTTCACTAATGTAAGTTGCTCTTCACCTGTTCAGAAGCCTAACCCCTTAAGACCTCCAGAAAGTGGGAAAGGAGGGTAGGACAACTTTGGGGCAACTAATGGATTGATACATGAGAATAGAGAGACAAGCCCATCCCTACCCCAAGGTCCAACGATTAAACCCTCTGACTCATGAAAAAGGGCAGGACATCCTTGTTAGCCTTCAAAACTGCTTCATTCCCTCCTTTCTTACTCTCCAAACCCATTTGTTCCACCTATTGTAATAGTTATGGTTGAGCTAATTAGGTATCCATTGTGAAAGATTATTAGGTTTAGACCACTGGCCCTGTAGCTAACTTAACCAGGCCTCTTCTTTTCCCCTACAGGCGCTGAAGGCCACTGGACTACAGACAACAGATCCCCGGCTCCGAGACTGTATGAGCCAGATGCACCGGATGGTCCAAGAATCCAGCAGTGGTGGCCTTTTAGACAGAGAGCTCTTCCAAAAGTGAGGGCCCTAGAAACAAGGGCACTGCTATCCAAACTGTTCTGTGGATATAGACTCTCAGAGCACGACAGAAGAATCTTGGGATTGTGTAGTGCAACCCTTCATTTTATTACTCATTAAACATACATACATCAATACTCATTATAAAAGTTCAAATACATGTAATATAGAATACATGTTCTCGGCACCCATAGCACAGTGGTTATGGCACCAGCCACATACGCCAAAGGTGGTGAGTTCAAACCAAGCCTGGGCCAGCTAAAACAACAGCTAAACAACTCAACAAAAAAAATAGCCAGGCATTGTGGGGGGCACCTGTAGTCCCAGCTACTTGGGAGGCCAAGGCAAAAAAATAGCTTAAGCCCAAGAGTTGGAAGTTGCTGTGAGCTGTGATGTCACATCACTCTACTGAGGGAGACATAGTAAGACTCTGTCTCAAAAAAAAAAAAAATACGTGTTCTTCCTTCCATCCATATCCACTCTTAGTCCCCTTTTCTCAGAAGTACACACTGTTAACAGATTAGTGGATATCTATAATGTCCTATGTCCTTACATACATATATGAATATATGTAAATATACTTAATGGTTTAGGATTTTTTTTTAAATATAAAGGTTATGGGAGGTGCCTGTGGCTCAGTGGCTATGGTACTGGCCCCATGTGCTGAGGGTGGCAGGTTGGAATCCAGCCCTGGCCAACTGCAACAAAAAAATAGCCAGGTGTTGTGGTAGGTGCCTATAGTCCTAACTACTCAGGAAGCTGAGGCAAAAGAATCACCTAAGCCCAGGAGTTGGAGGTTGCTGTGAGCTGTGATGCTACGGCACTCTACTGAGGGCGATAAAGTAAGACTCTGTCTCTATAATATATACACATATGTATATATATGTAAAACATATACATATATAAATATGTATATATGTAATATATATATGATATATATATATAGTGTGTGTATATATATATATATCACAGTATACATCATACTATTCTGAATTTGTTTTTTCTTACATACCAAGACAGTGTCTTTCCATGTCATTACAACCCATCATTTCAGAGGCTAGGAAACCAAGACCTAGAAAGATAAACTGACATGCCAAAGATCACACAGCTGTTGGTCCCAAACCTGATGACCACTCACAACTTTCTTTATTCCCACTCTCAGGACTCTAGAGTGAGTCCCAGCTGCATCATTCCAGTCCCCTAACCTAATCATGTCTGGGATCCAGGTGTGTGAGCGGCAACATTGTACTCCTGACCCAGGCATTCCGAAAGAAGTTTGTGATTCCTGATTTTGAGGAGTTCACTGGCCATGTGGATCGCATCTTTGAGGATGCCAAAGAGCTCACTGGAGGCAAAGTGAGGCCCAAGGGACTAAGGGAGGGACAAGGGACCTAAGCCAGAAATACTTTGCTTCTCAGATTTCCTGGGGCTGGGAATCCAGTGGATGAGAGATGAGAAGTAAAACTCTATAAATGGGGACATGGCTTCATGTCACTTCTATACATGTGATTCCTAGAGCAGGTGAGGGAATCTGAGACTTCAAATAGCTGTATAGGGCAATTGAGGCTAAACCTAAAAAAGGAATTTGATCCAAGAATTTTCCTTTTTTACCTTCCGTGGGCTTTACTGCCATCCCTACAACATAGGGGATGCAGAAAGATAAGGCCTTCTACGACTGAAAGCGTGGACATTTCTGGGAGCAGCAGGCAAGACAGAACCTCTTTGTGCTGCAGGAGACAGAATTTTGGCTTTTATCTAAAAGGTTTCTTGATCCTGAACCTGAACTTTGTTCCTCTTCTCCACTTCCATCTCTCTCTTCTCTATCTATTCATGTCCAGGTGGCAGCTTACATCCCTCATCTGGCCAAGTCAAACCCAGACCTGTGGGGCGTCTCCTTATGTACTGTGGATGGTCAGCGGTGAGATGCTGGGCAAGGGGAAGGGGAGGCAGGGCACAGGTGGAGAGCAAAGGCCAGCCCCTTTCATGGCACCTGTCTGCCTCCAGGCACTCTGTGGGCCACACAAAGATCCCCTTCTGCCTGCAGTCCTGTGTGAAGCCCCTCACCTATGCCATCTCCGTAAGCACCTTGGGCACTGACTACGTGCACAAGTTTGTGGGCAAGGAGCCCAGTGGCCTGCGTTACAACAAGCTCTCCCTCAATGAGGAAGGTGAGTTCTGCTAGGGATGAAACCAAACTCACAGTTGCCTCTTTACCCCCACCCCACCCTAAGCCTTTTCCTTTGTTTCTCCACACTTCCTGATTAGCCTGTCTTCCCTTTCTCCCCAGCAAAGAAATATTTCTTGTCTAAACAGAGTGGGCAGGCTATAATGGAGGGTTTATTTAGTGGCTAAGACTCTGAGTGGTTTGTATTTTCCCAGGAATTCCCCATAACCCCATGGTCAATGCCGGTGCCATTGTCGTCAGCTCCCTGATCAAGGTCAGTGCCACCCTAACCTAAAGCACCCTTGTTCCTGTACCCCTCATATCTATTCAGCAGTCCAGGGAGACTGATGAGGCTCTGACTCCTTTGAGGGTCCCAAGGAGGCACAAGAGAGCACCACAAGTGTTACACTGAGGATGTTAGTAAAAAGGACTGCACCACTTTCTCCACCCCTGGCGTATGCTGTTCCCTGCCCCCCACCCATGAGTCTAGGGCCCACAGCTTCCTGCCCCTTAGGGAACTAAGCAGGTCCTGACCCCTGCCTAGGACCAAGGGCCAAATGCCAGAGTCAGGGGGAGGACAGCACCATTAAGCAGTGATTGGCCACCTCTAGGTGAGGGACACATACAGGGAAGGGTGAATGGCCAAGCCAGGGCAGTTATTCACGTCACCTGGACCTGTGAGTTGGCCTTGAATAAGGGTGTCAGACTGGCCCATCAGCTGTAGGTCTCCCAGGCTTGAGCAAGAACTTGGGAACAGCTGGGCGGCAACACTCTGGAGCCAATCACAGCTCCTCTTGGGGAAGGTGGTGTTAGGCACCCTTCCCCCAGGGATTCAGGTGTCAGAGTCCCTGTGGTGTTGACTCTACAGTTGACACATGCATGCAAGAAGTAATGTGTTGGGGGAGGAGACCAGGCCAAGTCTCTCCCCTCACTCTGAGATGGTTCTGTCTGCAACCCTGTGTCTGGAATAAGCCTCATCCCATCCCCACGTTAAGTAGGCCCTTTGGACTTAACTCCCAGCTATTAGTAAAATCTGTAGCTTTATTTCACTTATCAATATAAGTGAATATTATAATTATGCAGCAGAAACTCATCCCATTCCTGCCATTCCATTCCATCTGGCGATGGGCATGAGAGTCAGGAATGGCTTATAGGACGACTCTAGTGTGGGGTGTAAGGAATGGGAATAGAGATCAGGGATGAGGCTTGGGCTTGAGTGATCCTCCTGCCTCATTTTTTTTTTTTTTGAGACAGAGTCTTACTATGTTGCCCTCAGTAGAGGGCTGTGACATCACAGCTCACAGCAACCTCAAACTCTTGGGCTTAAGCAATTCTCTTGCCTCAGCCTCCCAAGTAGCTGGGACTTACAGGCGCCCACCACAATGCCCTGCTATTTTTTTTGTTGCAGTTGTCATTGTTGTTTGGCAAGCCTTGGCTGGGTTCAAACCCATCAACTCCAGTGTTTTGTGGCTGGCACCCTAGCTGCTGAGCTGCAGGCACTGAGCCTTTCTTTTCTTTTCTTTCCTTTTTTTTTTTTTTTGAGACAAATCCACTATGTCGCCCTCAGTAGAATGCTATGGCATCACAGCTCACAGCTACCTCAAACTCTTGGGCTTAAGCGATTCTCTTCCCTCAGCCTCCCAAGTAGCTGGGACTACAGGTGCCTGTCACAACACCCAGCTATAATGTTGCAGTTGTCATTGTTGGTTAGCTGGCCTGGGCTGGGTTTGAACCCACCACCTTTGGTGTATGTGGCTGGCCCCATAACCACTGTGCTACAGGTGCCGAGCTCATTTTTTCATTTTTAGTAGAAATGGGGTTTTGCTCTTGGTCAAGCTAGTCTCAAACTCATGAATTTTCTTTTTTTTTTTTTTAATTTTAGAGACAGAGTCTTACTTTGTTGCCCTCAGTAGAGTGCTGTCTCATAACAGCTCACAGCAACCTCCAGCTCTTGGGCTTAGGCAATTCTCTTGTCTCAGCTGCCTGAGTAGCTGAGATCACAGGTGCCCGCCACAACGCCTGGCTATTTTTTTTGTTGCAGTTTGGCTGGGGCCCGGTTTGAATCCTTAACCTTCAGTATGTGGGGCCGGCGTTCTAGTCACTGAACCACAGGCACCACCCCAAACTCATGAACTTAAGCAATCCACCTGCCTCAGCCTCCCAGAGTGCTAGGATTTCAGGAGTGAGCCACCACGCCCGGGCTTGTTTCTTTTTTTTCTTTTAAAGGCAGACTCTCACTATGTTGCCCAAGCTGAATTCAAACTCCTGGGCCTAAGCAATCCTCCTGTCTCAGCCTCCAGAGTAGCTGGGACTACAGGTGCCCAGCTTGATTTGGTTGTTAAGATCCCTAGATATAGGGGCAGTGCCTGTGGCTCAGTGGGTTGGGTGCTGGCCCCATATATGGAGGGTGGCAGGTTCAAACCCAGCCCTGGCCAAACTGCAACAAAAAAATAGCCAGGCATTGTGGTGGGCACCTGTAGTCCCAGCTACTGGGAGGCTGAGGCAAGAGAACACCATAAGCCCAGGAGTTGGAGGTTGTTGTGAGCTGTGACACCATGGCACTCTACCGAGGGTGATAAAATAAGACTCTGTCTCTACCAAAAAAAAAAAAAAAATCCCTAGATATACATGCATCACAACTCACAGCAACCTTCAACTCCTGGGCTCAAGCTATCAAGTAGCTGGGACTACAGGCACCCGCTACAATGCCCAACTATTTTTTGGGTGCAGCCATCATTGTTGTTTGGCAGGCCCAGGCTGGATTTGAACCCACCAGTTCAGATGTATGTGGCTGGCGCCTTAGCCACTTGAGCCACAGGTGCTGAGCCCCCAGGGTTTTTTTTAAGGTAATTGTAAAACATAGCACATTCCCCCTAGGAAGACCAGCTAACACTTCACCTCCACTAGGGCCTCTCCGCCTTTCCCTGTCATCCTCCTAAGCTTGGTGTACTCACGTCTCTTTCTTTGTCTGCAGATGGACTGTAACAAAGCAGAGAAGTTTGATTTCGTAAGTCCCCTTGCTACTCAGCCCCTGGCTGCTTTACTCCATGGCATTTTGTCCTCTCCAGCTGCCCCAGTGCCTGGCTTCAACCCCACTATGAGGTGCACTTGCCCACACTAGAGGCCTTATTTCTAGAGGTGTGAGAATCTGCTGGCTTCAGAAGGGAAAGCCTCTTGGCAAACACTGTGCTAGCCAGCCTGGGCAGTGTCAAGTTGAAGTCTTTAGTGAACTGGTGCCTCCCATGCCTTTTTCTTTTCCAGGTGCTGCAGTATCTCAACAAAATGGCGGGGAATGAATACATGGGTTTCAGCAATGCCACGTAAGGCCCTGTTCAGAGGATTGGCTGAATGCATTGTGAGGGGTGTATGTGTGTACATGGGATAGGGGAGGTGTGGGAGGGTAAGGGGGATCTTAGGAGGAGGAAATCTCAGAGGAACTTAGCCTCCCTGCTTCCTCTGAGCCTCTTCCTTGACATTTTTTTACTTTGTAAAATAATTCGCTTTATTTCTTTTTTTTTTGCAGTTTTTTGGCTGGGGCTGGGTTTGAACCCGCTACCTCTGGCATATGGGGCCAGTGCTCTACTCCTTTGAGCCACAGGCGCTGCCCTGTTTCATTTCTAGTGGTTTGTGCCTAAACCCTTCCTTGCCAAGGCTCAAACCAAAAGCCTCACCAGCTTCCCTAGACTAGAACAAAAAACCCACCCCCAACTGTCCAGTCCAGGGAAATCGGTGACTAGACAACTTGGGGTAGGATTTTTGTTTTTGTCTCTTTACATTTTATAACAAAGCTGTGATGAGTACTTGCTCAGGTTCTTAAGTTTTCCTCTAATGTTACTGCAAGATGTTATAAACAGGATAATTTAGTTTGATGTGTGGTGTAGTTCTGTCTCTCTCAGGGAAGGTAATGTTTGCCTTTCTCCCAACACCCACCCCTCAAACTTCAACTCCTAAATTGGATGTTTGCTTCAGATTCCAGTCAGAGAAGGAAACAGGGGATCGGAATTACGCCATTGGCTATTATCTCAAGGAAAAGAAGGTAACTGGGAAAGGCTGGCAGATCAAGTCCCTGCAAATCCTGCTGCTAGTAGAAGGGCAGTAGGGGTTGGGGACTTTGGCTGAGACCCGGGCAGTCAGGAAGAGCTGCCAATGACCTGCAAAAACCTTTTCCTTCTTCCTTGCAGTGCTTTCCTAAAGGGGTGGACATGATGGCTGCCCTTGATCTCTACTTTCAGGTAAGCAAACACTGATCAGGGCCAAGGGAATAGGACAGACTTAACTCCTGTTCCTACCCACAGAGGGATTCTCTTGTTAAGATCTAGATGCTGGCTCAGCGCCTATAGCTCAACCGGCTAAGGCGCCAGCCACGTACACCTAAGGTGGCGGGTTCG